AGTAATTATTTCATTGCTTCATTAGCCGCCACAGATATGCTAATTGGTGAGTATAATTAAGAAGTTAAGGGTGATGTTATATTAGTTGATATTTTTATTATTAAATTAATAATATTAGTTATATATTAGTTAATATTATTATTATTAAAATTAATGATGATATTATTAATTTATGAAATTAAAATAATTATGCATAATAAAAAAAGTGGAAGAGCCAAACTGTGTTCTAACTTTAACTTTTTATACACTACCAACAATTATTTCGATTTAGCTCTTGCTTAGCTCTTTATAATGATTTATATACTTATATATTTTGTAGGTATATTTATTTATTTGAATATAAGTTACTTTTAAAAGTATCATTTATTTTCTTTGTCTTTTTCTTCTATAGGCACTGTGTCAATGCCCTTCTACACTGTGTATGTACTCATGGGATATTGGGATTTGGGTCCGTTACTCTGCGATCTTTGGCTTTCTGTGGATTACACGGTGTGCCTGGTGTCGCAGTACACAGTGTTACTGATCACTATCGATCGTTATTGTTCCGTTAAAATTGCTGCCAAGTACCGCAGTTGGCGAACGAAAAAACGCGTCATATACATGGTCACAATCACTTGGATCATACCAGCGCTGCTATTCTTCATTTCCATCTTCGGTTGGGAGCATTTCACTGGAAAACGTGATTTACTACCCGGACAATGTGCGGTACAATTTCTCAAGGATCCTGTCTTCAATACTGCTCTCATAATAGGCTACTATTGGACTACTTTGATTGTGCTGTTTGTGCTCTATGGTGGTATCTATAAAACTGCGTATGAAATGCAGAAGCGCAGTGAAGCAAAGCAACGTAAAATGCAATCGATGGTTGCGCTCAGTGCGGGTGCTATGTCAGGTATGGCCGGGCATGCTGCAGGCATTGGTGCTATAGAAGAAAAAATACTAAAAACTAAAGTAGATATTGGCGATATTACAGATGCTGCTAACGACGCTAGCGCGTTTACAGGTACCAGCTCGAACACCAACAATAAGCGGATGAGTGGTTCTGGACAAGCAAATCCATTAGCGCAGGCGGATATCATCAATGGTGTTTTGGCGGATGTGATAAATGAACAACGTCGCATTTCAGATGCTGCGGATGCGACTAAAAATGGTAAGCGTGACGGTGCTGAATTTGAAAAGAGCGAACGTTCGAGTAGTCCGGCATTTGACTCAGATGAGGAGAGTTCCGTGAATCAAACACAACAACTTATGAATCAACAGAAGCTGGCCAATTTGCGTAAGCGTTCATCAATAGGTCTGGTATTTGGTGCACAAGCTGCACTTATAGCCACACGTAGTAAAGGTAACTTAACTCAATGCACCACTACCTCCAAATCCAGTGAAGCGATGGCAAGCGCTGGTGCCATTTCCCCCAATCCAAGCAATATGCTTATGCGTACACAAAGCAAAGAAGAGGTTGGCCATCACACACCAGTGGAGCGACCAAAACGTACATCCTGTACAACCCTCTCCCAAATCTCCGAAACCGATAATGTACATGACAACGTTACCGCAGCACCAACTGCACATAAGAAAAAAAAGTCCAAAGCTAAACAACGCACTGAGACCCCTCTCTCACCGGTCGATATAGCACCAATCGAAGTGCCACAAAATCAAGTGCAGCAATGCTTGGTACAAGCCATATTACCCCCACCAGAGCAATTTCAATGTCCTTCACCTTTTTCCGAGTATTCCGATCGCCCCTTTGGTAACAGCAGCAACAGTGAACTGCACATGACCTATGAACAGATAATAAATACATCTGATTTAAGGTATATGGATGAAAGTTCTGCCATGTTAGCTTCACCCACCACCAATGGCAGCTTAAGTTTCTCACTAAATAACCCAGTTTCGAGTATAAAATCAACAACACAATCGCATCCAACGGGCACAACTCCTCCAAAAGTTAACTCCCGAACAAAACAGAATGTCGGCAGTCCTACGTTTTTGCAAAATGCACTGCAATTAGCAGCGCAGCAGCATAAACAACAAGAGCAAGTACAATCTCAGCAAAAAATCCAAACAACTCCGAAAAACACCTCTCCCACCTCAGCTGAAGTCTTACCCATTACCAACATACCACCTACAGGCATTAATCAAAATGATATTGAAATTGAAAAACATTTACTTATTTCCTATACAGGCATGGAGGACTTCGCCAAAGTGAGAAGAGAGAGCTGCGTCGAAGCTATGTGTCTGCTAGAAGTACCCGCCGAAACAAAAATGATTGTGGAAACAGCGCTAGCTACCGGCATAAGACGTAGTTCTAGTCCTTTAGAAACCGGAAACAATCGCGATACGCCCACCACAGCGGCAACACCAACAGTTGTGACGGTCATAACAAATGGTTTGGATAAAATCGAAGAACGTGAAACATCCGACATAAACAATAAGATAGCATCAACTTCGGGCACCACAAGCTCTGGGTCCACTGGCCTACACAGTGGTGTGACAACAGGTGCTACCAGCACGAACGTAGCGGCAACGACCGCTGGCAAACAGGCGACCATTAAATCGCAGCAAACCCACACAACCACCAGCCGGAACTCTAGCAAAAGAGATTTTATGTACTCCATTGGTAAGCATTTCAAAAGCAAAAGCAAGAAAGCCATACCGCTGGTAATCGGTGGCGGTAGACAAAAATCAAAATCTGAGAATCGCGCACGCAAAGCGTTCCGCACGATCTCTTTCATTTTAGGTTGCTTTGTGGCCTGCTGGACGCCGTACCATGTGCTAGCGTTGGTGGAGGGCTTCTGCCGAAATCCTCCGTGCACCAACGAGCATTTATACATGTTCTCCTACTTTCTCTGCTATGCCAACAGCCCCATGAATCCCTTCTGCTATGCGCTCGCAAATCAACAATTCAAGAAGACCTTCACGCGCATACTTAAAGGCGATTTGCATATGACTTAAGCAAGCCCAGCTTAGCAGTGTGGCGGAACTCACCAAAGCCTTTTGGAAATGTGTTTCAACTTATGTTCAACTTATGAAACATGGTATGTGTTAAGCCGCATGAGCCCCAGGCAATACATATCAGAAATTATTATTTCTTTTTGAAAAAAAAAAAAAAAAAATAAATAAAAATTTAACTAAAAGGCGCCGGTGAACTCCGCTGCGAAGCACCTAAAAGACTACTCAGAGAAATAAAAGTCAATTGCGAAGCGCTCACAATTTTACAAAAGACACAAAATCATAACAAAAACTGCTTAACAATAATTAAAATATAAATAATTATTTAAAAAATATTCAAAAATAAAAATAAATAACTTAAACAATTAGTAAGAAATTTAGCCTGTAAGCTTTAAACAATTTTAGACAATAAAAAAACCTAATTAATATAATTATATGGATACATATATATATATATATAAATATTAAATTATATATAATGTCAAGCTAAAGCTAATTTTAATTAAATTTAATTGTAGTTATATACGTAAATATATATAAATGGAAATAGTAATATATATATACATATATACATATATATATATGTAGGTATATAGAATTGCATAATGTGAATCGACATTAATGCATTAATTAAGTGGAACTTATACATATACAGACAGACATATTAAACCAAACACACCCACATATCTTTTCATATTAGATTAGTTTAGTGATTAAAAATTAAATAATAGTTAATTAACAAGAACAACAACAAATACAATAAATCATAGAAAAGAATACAATAAATTCTACTGCTAAACTGTACAACAATAATTGTTCGTTGAAATTATGCATGAAGTTGCATAAAAGTTTTTAAAAGTAAATTTACAAAATTAGAAGTCAAATTAACAAAATTATTTGAGCAATTAATTAAGTGATCAAATATCAAAAATTAATTAACAAAATAATGATAAATAAATACCATATTAGCAAAATGTATTGAGAACTTAAAATTGTCGTTGAGAAATAAGAAAACTTTACATACAAAAGCAAAAAAATAAGTCTCAATTGAACTTTACAGAAAAGCTTTCTATTCGTTTTACCGGAGACCGTAATATTACGATCTTTGCTGCAAATTTCAATGGCTTAACAGCAATGTTAACAACAGCCAAGTTAAGTACTGTTAAGTTAAGTTTTTGTGTGAAGCTTACTGTTATCGAATAATGTTACGTTACAATTCGTCTAAGTTTTGTTATTTATACCAGAAATACTCGAGCAATCGAAAGTTCATTATTATAATTATTATTAAATTAAATATTTATTTGTTATAAGCAATATTTATAAATTATTTATTAAATTGTTAAGTTTTATTTTTTGGTTAACAGTTCTTATGCTTACAATTTTGTTAGATTTTAATATTAAAATTGAATTTTGTATCATGCATTAGTTTAAAGTGTAAAACTGTGTAACAAATACAATAATTATAATAAAATTTAGTACATAATTTAATAAATGAAATGTTTTATTATTATTTTAAAAGTATAACATTTAAACTTTCAACTTGAATTAATTTATATATGATTTTTAAATTATTTAAATATACAATACAAAATCGTCCAAAAAAGGCTTTCTTTTCAGTAGACAAAGAGTATCGAAAATCATCGTGTGAGGTGAATATAGCTTAACACATACTTAAAACCAAGTCTTATATAATATACTCGGATCTACTCCATTTAATAGAGAACTAATCCAGATTTCTTAGTCATTATTAGTCTCAGTTAGTACTATCAAATAAACTTTGACTTTTAAGACAAAAAGCCATTGTTTGGTGAGGATATTGTTAAAACATTCAAATCGGCCACTATAATTTATTTTATAATGATCATTTAAGTATCGATTTAACATTAAATTGACATTTCTTTAAATTTAAAATGACACTTTAGTTATAAATATCCTTTATTATTATAAGTTTGCGCTGTTACTCTGAATTTAATAGTTATAGATAAGGATAAGAACTCATGAGTATTACTGAGCTCTATACATCATTTTGTTACTTTGTGCAATTGAAAATTATGGAGAATCAATCTAGAAAAGTTACATTACAGTCAGCTACAGCGCCCTACAGACAAACAATGTACAATACATGTAAAGTAAATTACACGATCTAGTAACTGTAGTAGTTGATAACACTCTATATATAAATATCGATGAAACTAAAGTCCCAGCAGTCCCAAAATTTCCACTACCAATAATTTAGGACGTCAATACTATGTGGTAACAGGAAAGCATTATCTCTGTTGGCGGTACTGTCGCGGAAATTTTTTGCACATATAATGAAAATATACTTTAACCACTAAGACCCATGTTATGTAGAGTGTCACGGGCACATCAAAATGAAAATTGTTGTTGCTTTCAATACAAATTAAAAAACTACGAATGAGAGAAATAACAAATGACGGTTTAAATTCGGTCATGAAACCCAAGCCGTGTTGTATGTATGTGTGTACATATTTCCTTTAAATTTTAGACACAATCAAAAAGTACGAAATTACTAGTAAAAATACGAAATTGACAAACTGATGTGACACTCAGTTACCAATTAAGAGTCAATTATGACGAGCCCATGACTTCCTGCGTCATGCGTCCTATTTCTAAATTAGGAAAGAGGAACAAAAAGTGAATGTCAATGTCAAAATGAATACGTTTAAATGCTTGTGAATATATGGGGATGGGGGATCAGCTAGTATCATGTTTCGGTTCGAATCCGTAACAGTATGTGTCCAATGGAGACATTAATAAAATATAATTATATACAGTTTTCTCTCCTTATGAAGAGGCAGCTATGCAGGATACAAAAAATCTTGCCACGCCATCTTAATCATACATTTCAAAAAGGAAAGTAATTAAATGTAACAGCATCACATATGAAGTCTATTAAATTAGATGGAAAAAAACTTATTTATATTTGAATTTTTTTTTTATTAAGAAACGTGCCTCTTTAACACTCTAAAGTGCGACTATTAATAGAACGCATATTATATCACTGAATAATAAATTTATTTTGAGTTCTATTATAAATGTGTTTATTAGTATAACAAAATACTTCTATATATTAAAATGATAATAATTTTATTTTAAATTCACCTAAACTATTTTAATAGTTCCGTCTTAATTACGCTAATTCATGTAGTCAAAATAGTTAATTAAGCAATAAAATGAAGTTCAAGTGACGTCAGTTTAAATACAATTAAATTTACTTAAATCTTTTGTGCGATTTTACTCAATGAAATTTTGTATTCATTTTAATTAATTAATTATTTCGAAAAACATTTCCATATATGCTGAAATACGAGTCCATCTTAATTATATATATATTTATCTACATCTAAATAAATATGGATTCCAAGCAATTGCTATAATACAATTACAGTTTGTCATTTACATATTGTATGATGAGAAATTATATATATT